CTGGCTAGCAGGGTGATTTTTGGGTCAATTCTTAGGTCCTACCACCACTCGGGAATCTCCAAGCTGTGTCATATATGCCATCAGGGTTGTTCAGGTTGCTGCTAGACCGCAGGTCTGTGTGTCTCCTTTTTTGGTATTGTCATGCAAATTCTTCTGCTAATTGGGGTTTAGTCCACTTTTGTATCCTTCCCTTCAAGGCTCAGGGGTCCAAGATTATCTTCTGTGTCTGTGTTAATTGCTTTCCCTTTTCTTTGTTGAAGAGCATCTGTGCAGTCCTTCTGCCTAGTCCACCATCTTGCCGGAACTCTCCCATGAATCTTTCTAAAGAATGCATCCAATAGCCTTTATGGCAGGAAAAAGTTAAATGTTCTTATTTTTTCAAGTGAAGATACTGAAAACTAGAGGGGTAAAATGACTTCTCCAAAGTCTCATAGCCAGGTGGTGGCAAAGCCAGGACTTAACTTTCTGGCATTTCCCCTAATATTCCAAAAGGGTAGAATCCAATCTAGCAGATTCTCTCTCCATTAAACTGCCAAATTTGTGGCTTACCAAAAGCTGCTAAGGAACCAATTTTTGTAAGTTCCATTAAAACATCAATGTCATTCCCCACTGCTGTCTTGTCAAATCTGTTTATGACATTTATATATGGAGGGAAGGGAGAGAAAGGCAGAAAATGGAACACACCCAGGGAAAGCATGGGGAGGAAATCAACAGTATAGAATATATGCATAAGGCTGTATGAGACAGCCCATGAGTGAACTCAAATATATGTGTATAGACTCAATTAAGCTTATCCTGAAATGTTTAACACAGGACATAATGCCAACAATTTCCAAAAACCAAATAGTCAGTCAATACAGTATCCCTTCTGCTCCTAATAGTTCATGCCAAAAATGTTATTTGTCTTAATTTTTCTCTCTTAATGGGTTGGTTGCCTTTGCTACTCATAGAATCATAGAGCTAATGTTGTTGTTATGTGCCATTAAGTCAGACCCGACTCATAGCGACCTCTCCTTGGGTTTCTGAGTCTGTATCACTATGGAAGTAGATTGCCAAACCTTCCTTCTGAAGAATGGTGGTGGGTTTGAACTGCCAGCCCTCTGGTTAGCTGTCGAGGGCCTTAGGCACTACGCTGCATAGAGCTAATGGGGACCACAAAATCTCCTAGGCAACTCTCTCATTTTGTTGATGAGAACAATGAAAGCCAGATTCAGGGGCTCGTTTCTGTTCCCATGGCTTCATTGGTCCTGTGGCAACACATGGATTTTCCTGTATCTAGGCCAGGTCTGTTTCTGGATGACTTTTATAGACATCAACTAACTTAAAGAATAAGGTATAACCCTCAAACCCAGAGTGAAAAAGAAATTATAGTAAACTGAATACAACTGAAGGAGGAAATAAGTGACAGTTTGTCTTCCACCTTTCTTCAAAATTTCCAGAAAGCTCAATTGTCTGCTAAAACCAGAGTTTTTATTACACAGAAACATGAAATTTCTCAGACTTAACGTAAAAAAGCAATTGAAGAAAGAATCCAGCTGTTATTACTAAATGTGACCAGGACTAAGACAAATCCAGTAGCCCAAGTAGTTTTTAATGAGAGCCACCAGATAACTTAATCTGCTTGGGAAGGCTGATATCTTCTTTGATAATTTCCAATTTTATGTCAACTGCCTGTTATATTTAATGGGACTAGATCTGATCCATACTATATCTGAGCTATACAGAACCGAACTGTATTATAGCAGAGTTCTTTTCTATTTGGAAGTACTTTAAAATGATTTGCAATGGATAGTGGTGATGGTTGCCCAACATGGTGAATGTAATCAATGTCATTGAACTGTTTACATAAAGATGGTTGAAATGACAAACGTTTTGTTACATATGTTTTACCACAATTAAAAAAAAATGTAATTCAGGCTTATGAGAATAGGCTGATGTTTATTTTGTGGCAAAGAAGTTTGTTTCCATTGCAAATGGATGGACAATCAAAGGAGCCCTGGAGACGACCTTAGAGATCGTTAGCCATGCAATATGAAACCCTTCCCCATTCTGAGAATTAATGCAGAATCGCTTCAGTGGCTGGTCGCTGTACCTTTTTTTTTTTTTTATCACATAATTTTAACTTCTTCCCAAAAGTTAGTGCATAGCAAAGCTATATTCCTGAAAGGTTCCCCAATGATTTGCCATCTGTCAAAAGCGAGACATTCTGTCACCTTTATAATGAGTACTAGCGGGCACCTAACACCTAAATTTTCACACCTTCTGCAACACAACGCTCTCAGAAAGAGGAGCAGCTCTTCAGCTGCACACACTCTCTTCTTCAGAGGCGTGTCCATTGTGGCATTATTAGAAACTAAGAGGAAATGCAAATATTTGCTCTGGTAGGGAAAGATTCGCAATGACCTCCCAGGGGACGATCTAAATCAACACATTTCATCATTGGTATTTCCTGGTCTTTTTTCCCCACTGTAGATCTCTCCATCAATTTTCAGAAACTCCCACCCTATCCAGAGGGACCAGTTTCAATTCTTGCTATTCTGCTGCAAGTATACCACAAAGGTATGTGATTCCCAGGCATTTGTCATCCAGAGAAATCATTCTGTGGAACAATGGATTTCATGCAATTATAAATAGGCACTTGAGAAATAGTTGATGAATGAATGGATGAGAGAATGAATACAGGCTTTCTAAACTCCAACTTGCAAGAGCAAAATAAAAGAGTCCATGAAATTGGAAACAAGCTGGATAGATATCTATCAATGGGAAAATGGTCAAATAAATTATTGTTCAATCCATTTTATGGAATCATGTATGTTGACAAAAGGAATGGGTAGAGATACACATGATAACATAGGAAACTCTTCAAGTCGTATTTAAAGAAAAGACAAAACAGAAAAATATACAAGCAAACAAGGGAGAACTATAAAGAATGCGTATGTAACTGCATAGAAAAATATCTGGAAGGATTCACATAAATTTAGCAGGAAGGGTGTCTGGATTGGTGAGGGTTAGGATCTGTGGAGCTTATGGACAAAGGGGAAAGGAACTGCAGAGGCACAATGGTTAAGTGCTCAGGTGCTAACAAGAAAAAATTGACAGTTTGAATCCACCAGAAAACTGTGGCAGTCTGCTTCCATAAAGATTACAGCCTTGGAAATTCTATGGGCAATTCTACTCTTCTCTAGGGTCGCAATGAGTCAGAATTGACCCAGCAGCAACATGTTTGGACTTTTTGGTTTATGGCTAAAAAAGAAGATAGCCTAAAATGTAATATTGTAATTTTTCAACAAAGTAAGTGTATTTCATGTATTTCTTGCATGTTGTTGTTGTTATGTGCCATCGAGTCTTGCATAGGTAAGTATAAATTAAACATTATAACACTGAAATTATGTTTAATGACTATCAATCAATAATTACATTTTTGGCCCTGAGACTGTGAGCCTTGGAAGAAAGGGACTATGTCTTTGTTAATTTTTCTGCCTTGGGTGCTTAGCATAAAGCCCATAACATGACAGATGTTCAATAAATATTTGTATAAATGAGTGGAATGAAAATTTGCACAATGAGTTTGATATAATAACAGATTAAATCTTTCAGGTAGAATTTAGATTTCTCACAAGAATTTTTTTTCTCTATTAAGTTTCTTTTATACTTAGGTGTGTGTCAATATAATAAAGTAATATGCCACCTCCAAATGTCCAGTTAATTCCAATGATTAATTGTCCAAGCTGAGCCATTTAAACTCCACAGTAATGGTGGATTGCCTTTTCATCCTTGATCAAATCAAGGGGCAAAGAAACAGATCCCTATGTCACATTAGATTGTGGGAATGTCATGCTAGGTGGTGTTCGATAAGTGGACCTGCCCAATGAGGGTATAGGTGGCTGCTGTCAATTGAGTGAATTGTTATTGTTAAGTTATATGACTCATAGTGACCCCTCCTTGGATTTCCGAGACAGTATCACTGTGGAAGTAGATTGCCCCATCTTCCTTCTGAGGAGTGGCTGGTGGGTAGTTAAGTAAATGAATTGCAATTAGTCCAATTTAAATTATGGAATCATGGAAGTATAATTATCTAAAATATCTCAGATAAGTATAATGATGTTGCTTAGAAAGGTAAACACAAATCTCAAGAGCTGAACAAAACTAATAAAACCTCATGAAAAGTTCTGATTCCCATAGAGTCCATATTTTTTAAAAGATCAATAGCCTATTAACAGAGAAGTTCAGTAATTGGGAGGTGAGTTGTTATACATAAATATAATTTCCAGGTAAATGGTGTGTGTTGTTTTAAGTGCCCAAACTGAACTGAACAAAACATTTTGAAAAAGCATTGCCTGTTTCTCAACAAAATCAAAAAAATAAAAAGGACACATTTTAACCCTACTGATCTAGGGACTTAAAACAACTATTTGTAAACATCAGTCCTTGTGGTCTACATTTGGTGATATGTATAGATGAGGATGCCCCAGACTGATGCTCTTTATAAATATTCTTATTTGGGTCACTATTGATTGTTTTTCCAGTTTTCTTCCTTGCCATCTACCTCTATTTCTTTATAGTGGTCAGTGCACTGTCTCTGGCTGCTACCCTATAATCTTCTTGCCCTTGTAACTTAACACATGACTACTGTGAACTGGAAAATCAGATAACTAAGTTCATTGGTATCGCACATAAAGTAAAGGCAAACAGTTTCTGAGTAGGAGTGGAGGGACTGTCCTTTAAGTAAATATATATTTGTTGTTGTTGTTAGTTGCCATTAAGTTGGCTCCAAGTCATGGCAACTCCATGCACAACAGAATAAAATGCTGTCTGCTCCTGCACATCTTCACTATCATGGATTGCTTGAGTACATTGTTGCAGTCACTGTGTATTTTGTATGACTTCTGACATAGGGGACTTTTCTTCTAACAATATATTAGACAATATTCTGTTTTGATCCAAGGAGTTTCCTTGGCTAATTTTTGGAAGTAGAATATCATCTGTCTTAATCTGGAAGCTGTACTGAAACCTGCCCACTATGGATGACTTATTGGTATTTGAAATACAAGAGGCATAGCTTCCAGTATCATAGCAATGTGTAAGCCATCCATAGTTCAAAAAACCAACCAAACCAAAAAACAAAACAAAAAACCAAAAAATCATTGCCGTTGACTCAGATCCAATTCATAGCAACCCCTCCTTGGGTTTCTGAGGCAGTATCACTTCAGAAGTAGATTGCCCAATCTTCCTTCCGAGCGTTGGCTGGTAGGTTTGAACTGCCTGCCTTCTGGTTAGCAGTCAAATGCCTTAGGCACTACACCACCAGAGCTCCCCAGAAAACCAACAGAGTATATATTGTTGTTATCGTGTGCCATCAATTCAGTTCCAACTCATAGCACCCTCCCATATAGGAGAGAATAAAACTGTCCCATAGGGTTTCCCAGGCTGTAATCTTCACAGAAGCAGGTGGTCCTGCCAAGTGGCTGGTACCTTAAAATCCCTGGCCATTTGGTTGTCTATTGAGTGCTTAATCATTGTGCCACCTGGGCTCCTTTAAACTATATAGAAGCATTGATAAGCACACCATCTGTTTGCCTATCTGTGACCCTCTATCACTGAATTTCTTCAAGATTAAATAGTTGAGATGACTAGAAAAATGGCTTTTATTTAAGTGAATTGCTTCTGAATAAAGATATTCCTGTACTTCCTGCAGCATTCCTGAATGGCTGGAATTTTGGGAAAAAGATCCTGTGGAGATTTTCTTGGACCTGGGGTTTGGTGCTGATGAGCCGGACATCTGCACACAAATCCCAGCTAGATTCCTTTGTTGTGGCTCTGCAGCCAAAGGAATCAACATCCATGTGTTTCTTGAAGCTCAAAAGCAGCGGATGGACATTGAGAACCCTAACCTGTATGGTAAGTGAGGACCATGTGATAGTTGCATCTCAACAATGGCAGTGTGTGTCCAGATGGACCACTGGAATGGACTAGGAGGTCACGTGCAGTGGTGATGGACTCTTTTGTCTCCATGACTTGAAACAGAAAAGATTTATTTCTTGATCATTCCATATATCACTATGATATGATATGTATGTTTGGGGATTGGGGGATTCTACTCCATATTGTCCTCCCGCAGGGACCTGACTCTACCCTCTGGAACATCACTGGTTGCCATGACCAGTGATGTGTGGAAATGGAGAACCAAATCTTTCTTTTCAGAACTTACATGTATCAGAGATGCTCAGATTTCATTGGCAAATATAAGCCATGTAGTCACATTAACCTTCAAGGGGGTCCACAGTGGATCTGCAGTCCTACCATGTGCCCAAAAGGAAAAAGGCTGGCATAGTTGTGAGCAGCACAAATATTGATCATAGCCACATGACCAGGAGGCAGAGAAACCAGGCAGGCCCTGATAACACTCATCATGTGTTTTTAGTTAAAGCCTCCATTTCCTCATATATGAGGCTTAGAACATTACCTATTCCACCATGACCCATAAGTGATGTTATCAATGAGTTTTCTGTCATACTTCCAGATCTGTGGAATAAGTATGTTTAAATTTTATAGTGAACTTGGTGGTATGGTGGTTAAGTGCTTGGCTGCTAACCAAAAAGTCAGCAGATTGAATTCACCAGCCTCTCTGTGGGAGAAAGATGTGGCAGACTGTTTCCATAAAGATTACAGCCTGGATACCCTATGGAGCACTTCTACTCTATCCTATAGGGTAGCTATAAGTTGGAATCCATGACAGTATCAGGTCTTTTTAAACTTCATAGTTGTTACGAATGCTGCTATTTCTCACCAACTTGTGACTCACTCACTGCCATAGAGTCTGATCCTTGGGTTTCTGAGGAGGTATCAATAGGGAAGTAGATTGCCCAACCTTCCTTCCAAGGAGTGGCTAGTGGGTTTAATCAGCCTTCTGGTTAGCAGTCAAATGCCTTAGGCACTATGCCACCAGAGCTCCTAATAAAGTACTTTTCTCTAGAACATTACTAAGGATATTGTTGGGATATGTGTACTGTGTTCATATAATTTGGTGGAAAGATGCAAGTTAAACAGGTTTATTTAATTTAGAATTTATTTAATATTTTAAGGTGAACTCTTGCTATGCATAAGGAGTAGAGTATAGCAATTCCAAAATCAGTTAAATATAGAAACTGTCATAGAAGAACATTGAGGACATCTCTTCCATGGGACAGTCAGAGGAATTCCAGACTTGGGAAAATTCCTAAAACTCTTTTTCTGAAATCACTTTTTTAAATAAATAAATAAATAGATCCACCAAAATGAACATCAAATGAGATAAAGTGTTTTTCTCAAACAAATGACTGGAGCCAAAAGTTCATTGGAATTTTTCAGTTTAGTTTCTTTTCATCATTATGTGTGTGCCATGGGTCTCAGAAGCACAGCTATGAGATTTTTTTTAAGTGTGTATAACTCTGGAGGTATTGCAATGTAATGTTTCTTTATTTTTTAGAATAAATTAATATGTTTCTTTACTTGTGATCTCCAAGTAGAACAGAGATATAAGTTCTTTGATCAATTCATTATTTGGGAAAGTAATAACATCAGTATTTAAGTAGTGTTTGGGCTTATCTGTGAAATAAATATTTTACAGCTGCAATTGACACATGCATTATTGGAGGAACCAGGACTTGGTCTCTGATCCTGTGATTGCTGGCCTCTCTTACTGCCACTACTTACATTGTGACAATAGTGCACAGTAACTGTTCTTGTTCAATAATTATCCACTGCCATGGAGTCAGTTCAGACTCATAGCAACTCCACAGGACAAAGCAGAACTGCCCCATAGAGTCTAAAGTCTCTTAAATATTAATGGAAGCGTATTTCCTCATCTTTCTCCCATGAAATGGCTGGTGGGTTTGAACCACTGACCTTTTAGTTAGTAGGCCAATGCTTTAACCACAGCACCCCCAGAGCTCCTTACATGCAATACTTACCAATGTACTTTTTGACTCATAGAAGCTGAGGAGGTCAAATATAAAACAAACACTAATAAAATTTGTTTTCTGTTCAAAAGACAGAGTGGAAAATTATGTCTCATTCAAAGTCAATATAAAATGTTGAAACTTGGGGAGATGAAAATTAATTGGTCCATTGTTCAATCTACCCAAAGGCAAAAAAAGGAAACAGTCATCCAATACTTCAGACTATTTTACTTTTTCAATTGACTAAGCTTATTAAAATGATAGGTTTTCTTTTAGTCTAAGTATAAAAATATGCAATGGAATGGATATAAGACAATCGTAAAAGCTGACTTGTGATTCAGTTGTACCCTCTGGCTCACCAGACTGATTTATTTTAAACTTTCTCAGAAATTAGGGGAAAGATGTAATCAGAATTTTTCTTCTGAAAACATCCAGTACCCAAGAATTCCTAAAGGTGTAGAAGGAATATCACAAGCTTCTGTGAGAAACTCTCACATTCAGGGAATAGAAGAATGGTTAGTCAGTATTTTCCCCTTCAGGTGAAGAAACAGGTGGTCTTAAGGACATGCTCATGGAAGCATCAATAGCATTGCTCTAGTGATGCAAACAACAGAACAGAGAACAGCATCCTTATCCACCTATGTGGTCCTTAATCTTTGCTCAGAGTAATACAAACTTGAAGCTATCTCTAGGGTTAAGAGAAGGTTGTGCAATAAAAACAAAGTATTCTGTTTTTATTACCTTACCTTAGTTTTATTATGTTGAGATGACAAGAATATTTTTCACCATTTTTCCCCAAAACTGGTATCCACAAATTAGCCCTTGTTATGTTAGGTCTCTCTCATATGATCTATCATTAAGTCAATACATAAATGTTACTTAAATGATGGAAGCCGTATCATCCAGAAAGGCTTACAAGTTGAGGAAGAACTGGTTTGATTTAATGTTCACAAGAGATACATAAGATATATATTATTACTGTCATTTTCCAGATAAAGAAACTGTCCACTTATTATGCAACTGACACAAGGCTAAGCACAATATATCTATCGATTCACTTACTCTGTGTTCACACTACCAGTGATTAGTTAACAAACAAGTGTTGGATCCAGGTCTGTTGATCCCATATGCCAGGCTCTTTCCACACTATTGGTGACAATGTAGACAGAGATGATGGAGATGATGATGAAGTTATATACAGCATTAAACTTTGGGATAAAACTCAAGGTCACATCATGTGAAAGAGCTGGGTTTACTCTCTTATGTTTAGTTTCATATACATAAATGTATAGCTATGCCCATGTCTGTAGTTTTATGTTTTAACACACATTTTATAGTTTTAACACATATAAAACTTGTAAGCATATGTGAATATACATAAGCATATATAAATATATAGTTATATATCTTTGAAATATAAAAGGCAGTCCCTTTTCCAATAACACAATGATACCTCATTCTGTGGGAGAGTCATCACCATATCAGTGATACGTAGTGAGAAAAAATTGAGTTTCAGGAACTTAAAGTCCCTTCTTGAAAATCACAGGTGTCAACCAACCTCCTCATTTTTGAGTATATTAATGCAGTTTAACTGAAAAGAGTAAGTCTAATAGAGTAAGTCTAATAATTTTGTGATTTATCTATTGTTCAGGACGTTTTCGACAGCTGGAAATCCTGGACCATGTAACCAATGCCTTCTCATCTTTGCTGAATGATATTAACATCCTCCAGAACAAAGCTGAAGAGGAAAATGGAAGAAAGAGTGTGGAAAAAGTCTCAGTGAGTGGGGCCAAAGAACATCGAAGAAGAATGGGTGAAATCTTAAGAAGAGCTTCCAAATATAGCATAAGAAGGGATTATAACCCAGAAGCATTGGAGTCATTGAAAATGAAAGATGAATTTTTCATCCCAACTGGAAAACCAGAGGAGTGTGGAACAGAGTTACTAGAGATGGCAAACAACCACAACCAAAGTCATTTGGCTCTTTTGACAGAGCCCTGGTCTCTCCAAGCCTGTGGTGACTTACTGCCTTGTCATCCTCCACAAGCTCTTCTTCAAAAGTGGTTGCCTCTCTCATCCAGGCTAGCCCAGAACACTCTAACTTCCAGTATGCCTGACAGGCCAGTCAAGGACAGAACTCAAAAGGAGAACTTGATTCATACTAAAAAGTTCAAAACTTTATCTTATCTTGTAGGTGAAGTCCTGGACTCCTTTGAAATGGAAGAGGTCAGTGCTGTCCCTATGTGTCTAATCAATGGAACTGACCTGCACCAAGGCACTTTTTGCATTCCAGCTTTCATTTAATTACTCCATCTTTTAACCCCTCCTCATTACATCTTATTATTCTACAACTCATGGTTCGTCTAGGATATTTGAGGTCATTCTAGTTCCTTCAATCAGAAAGAAATAGGCATGAAAGCAGCCTTCACTTTCCCCTGTTCCTTTTCTATTCTCTGCTCAAAAATGAACTCACAGGTCTTTTTTTTTTTTTTTTAATAATATTTAGTTATGTTCTTGGTGAAAGTTTACATAGAAAGTTAGATTCCCATTTAACAATCACTACACAAATTGTTCAATGACATTGGTTACATAATTTGCAATGAGTTAACATTTTCATTAATTCTATTCATCCAGAATAGAATTAAACATCCAGTTTAATTTCCAGTAATATGGTTTCCCTGTCCCCTTACCCTTTCACCATTGCTTTAGAGTAATTTTCAGCCATTTGGTCTCATATAGATTATTTGTTTAAAAGAAGTGCACAGCAGTGACTGGTAATAGTTTTTATTTTATGAGCTAACTAAGCAATCTACTTCAGTATAGATACTACCTCAGAAACCCAAGGAGGGGTCACTATGAGTCAGATCTGACTCCATGGCAGGGAGTTTGTTTTTTTAATCTGTTATTTAGCTAAAAGGTGACCTCAGGGGATAGTTTTCAAGGTTTATGGGGTGTCTCATGCAAAAATCTTGGAAAAATCCTCTGGTCTCAACCTGTTCAGTAAGTCTGGACTTTTTAAGAATTTAAGTTCTTTTCCACAGTTTTCTCCCTTTCTATCAGGATCCATCTAGTGTGGCCCTAATCATAATGCTCATTAATGGTAACCACACACTATCTAGTTCTGATCTCTGGGTAGATGAGGCCATGGTTCACGTAGACTGTTAGTCCTGTAGACTGCTTTCTTCTCTGACTATTTGGTTTCCTTCTTTCTCTTTTGCTCCAGAAAAGAAGACGGATAATTCTATCTTAGATGGTTGCTCACAAGCTTCTAAGACTCCAAACACTACTCACTGAACTAGGATGTAGAACATAAATTTTATGAACTATATTATGGCAGCTGACCAAGTTTTGCTATGAGACTATGGTCCTAAGGTGTCAAACCCAGAAAACCAATCCTGCAAGACATTTGGTTATGTCTGAGAAGTAACTGTAACTGTGCCCTAAATGCTTTATTCTATATATGAATATATATATGCATACACATACATACACATATAAACATATATACATGTATATATGCACACACATATACATATCTATACACATATATGTATACATACCTGCATATGTAACCACACATATATTTTTGGGTGGTTGCTGCTATTGTTGCAAAATTATAATCTCCTACCGTCTACCAAAATGTCCTTTCATGTGTGTGTGTGTATACTTTTCACACAGGTTATTTCTGATTTTGTTTTGCTTAGTGTCTTATTAATGTCTCAGTGTGCTTTTACCTACTCTCTAACTTCTTCTATTTTTGCTTTATTTGAGGATCAGTTGAGTCACTTCCCACTCAGTGAAATGTGCCCTAACCACTTCTCCTCAGTATTCTCATAGACTTGGCAGGGAGTATCTGGTTGTGCTAGAGAATGTGATTGTGTCAATGACAACTCCTGCACTAGCCTTTCAGCTCCTTGAGGACCAGGGATGTCTCTTATAAATATTCCCCCACACCACCACCACCCCACAATGAGTAACACAAGGACTTGAACAAAGTAGAAACTTAGGTGTCATAATTTTCTAGACTAACATAACAAGATGTCACAAAATAGGTAGCTTGCAAAAAAATAAATTTATTTTTTCGCAGTTATGAAGGTTAGATTTCCCAATCAGAGTATCAGCATGTCTATTACTTCTGAGGACTCTGAGAAAGGAAGTGTCTCAAGCCTCTGCTCCTAGATTCTAGTGGCTGCTGCTGATCCTTTGCATTCCTTGGCAGGCACCTCCCCTGGTGTCTTCCCCTGGGTGTGTGACCCTGCTTTCATGTCTATTCTTCCCTTGTTAAGATACCACTCAGAAAGGATTAGAGTTAAGACCCACTTTACTTCAGTATGAACTCATTTAATTTAACTGATAATATCTTCCAAAAAAAATCCTATTTCCCAAAGTCACATTTACATGCACCCTCCCCCCCAAAAAAACCCTGTTGCCATGGAGTCAAAACTGATTTATGGAGACTCTTTAAGACAGAGTACAGTTGCCCCATAGGGTTTCCAAGGCTGTAAATCTTTATGGAAGCAGGCTTCTGCCTCTTTCTCCTGTGGAGCAGCTGGTGGGTTCAAACCACTGATTTTTTTTTTTTTTTTTTGGTTAGCAGTCAAATGCTTAACACTTACCATTTCATACACTTTCTCTACTCCTTCAACTCCACCTTCACACTTATCTTTATCCTCATTTAGATAACAGCTTCACCTGTACCTTTCAGTCTTTTTTTTTTTTTTTTTTTGGTCAAAAAAAAAAATACATACACATTCCCACCAATTTTTATGCATAGTGACAACTAGGTTTAGGAAGTACGGAAGAGAAAAGAAAAGAAAAAAAAAAATACCTTTAATCTAAATTAAGGAGCTCTGGTGGTGTGATGCCTAAGGCATCTTACTGCTAACCAGAAAGTTGGTGGTTCAAACTCACCAGTGGCTCCATGGAAGGAAGATTGGGAAATCTATTTTCGTAAAGAGTTACTGCCTTGGAAACCCAAAGGAGCTTGCTATGAGTCGGAATCAACTCAATGGCAGTGAGTTTGGAGTTTGGTTTGGTTTAATCTAAATTATCCAAAGAAAAGGCAAGTATTTCTATCCAAATCCCAAGGTGGGACCCTCCTTATTCATTGAGCTCCCCACCTCCTGGGAAACATGATGGGCTCTGGGCACAGAGTCTGCCTTCAAGGGAGCTATGATGCAATTGCAAAAGTGAGAACAGAAATCAATAACGTGGTAGGAACAGGGACAGCCCTACAGGTATGTTTTCACAGAATTATAGTGACATATTTAGGGTATCTGGGAAGTAAAAGAAGGGTTTGTAACCCAGTCTTGTACCTGAGAGCATCAAGGAACTTATGAGAAGTGAAGCTTACCCTTAATAGGAGTTCAGTATGCCTATTGGTGATCTTCCCAAACAACAAAGATAAAGAAATTGCCCCAAAACATATAGCTGTTAATGGCCTAATATTTGTGTGTGTGTGTGTGTGTGTGTGTGTGTGTGTGTGTGAGTATACTGTGTGCATGTATATTGTTGTTGATAGGTGTCATCTAGTTGATTTTGACTCATAGTGACCCCATGTGATAGTGCAGAATTGCCCCAAAGAGTTTTCTAGGTTGCAGTCTTTACCAAAGCAGATCACCAGATCTTTCTCTTGCAGAACTACTACTGGGTGAGTTCAAATTGCCAGCCTTTCAGTTAGCAGCTGAGGACTTAGCCAATGAGTCACCAGGGCTCTCTCTATATATCAATCTATCTATCTAGATATATACACACACGGCAGTGAGTTTGGTTTAGGAGCTCTGGCAGCATAGTGCCTAAGGCATTTGACTGCTTTTGATTTTTATCAAAAACATATTAAAGTAAATTAAAATTATAAATGGAGAAATAAGTTATATGTTTGGCCAAGTGACTAGTTGCTGATAAGCTGAAATGGTATTATAAAATAGTGTTTCTTTTAACTCTATCTTGCAAAGATTTATTTAATGACCAAACTAATAGTTAAATTACCTAAAAGATTGCAAGTAATTCTAGAAGTCATTAATCAAACAGCTATGTTAGCCAGGATTTAAATAAGAAATTTTGCCAAACTCCAGCTCATTTATAAGACTCATTAGACTTACTACTATTTTCTTAAGTTTCTTCTGCCTCAAACCAGTCTGACCTATCAGGAAAAAAAAAAAAAAAAAATGCCGTCTATATGTGAGAGTACAAAGATTATAAATAAACACAAAATTCAACATAGTCTTTGCCCAGAACAGTTTCAAATATTATTATAAATGACCATTACTAAGGAAAAAAGTGCATATGCATATAGTGCCTAAGGCTTTTGACTGCTAACCAGAAGGCTGGCAGTTCAAACCCACCAGCTGCTCCTTGGAAGGAAGGTTGGGCAATCTACTTCCGTAGTGATACCACCTCAGAAACCTAAGGAGGGGTCGCTATGAGTCAGATCCGACTCCACAGCAGTGAGCTTATATGTCTATATAGGTAGGAAGGATACATCAGACACCAAAATGGCAAAAAAAAAAAAAAAAAAAAACCTCACACATTCTCTTGGCACATAGTTGATACTCAGTAAATACTTGTTGAATGAGTCAATTAACATCAAGAGGTTTAATTTAGTCTAGGGATAGCATTCACATTTTTAGAAAACAGAATAGGCTGTTGAACTTCATAGTCAACTTTGTTTATTGCATTCCTTTAATGTTTTCCTGGTGTATGTTTGTGTGTGTGTGTGTGTGTGTGTGTGTGTGGTTGTGTTAGGGAAAGATAGCCCTAAAAATGATGTGAAAGAAACTCACTACTTGGGATTTTTGTTTTTCCGAAAAGTATATTTAGAATATTACATCCTCACCACACAGCCTGGGGAAAAGAGATTTTTTGACTCAATACCAGTGGAGAAGTAAAGGAAGCCAGGGTTGGTTGCATCCTAAAAAGAAGCTAATGCCAGATTTAATATTTAGTTTCCAATGGCAAATCTAAAAATCCAATTATAAGAAATGAAAAATATGTGTGAAATTGGCAGATTTTCATGGCATTTAAAACATGAGCCAATATGCGTAAATATCTAGCTATCAAAATATCAAATATGGTTGGCCAAATTTTGCCTCCACATCAATCTATGATGCTTTCCTTACAGACCTACTAAAAACTGAATTTGGCAATAGTTGGCTCACTTCTCATAATTATGATTCCAACCAAATCGTGCATAGGTTTTAATGCAAAAATTAAGCTATTTTTGTGTTTACTTTTACAAAAAGTAAAATTGAGCCTATTTTTTTAATTCCCAGACATATCGACTAAATTTAATATTCATGAAACTTGCACAATTATAAATTCAAGGTAGGAAACTTCTTTATATCTACAATAAATTTCTTTTTTTTTTAAAGTGATAACTAATAAGTTTAGCTCAGAATTTACAATGCATAGTGAGGTGTGTGCTACCAAAACCAATAGAAATAATGCTGAAAAGCATGTTTGATTAGTTACAAGTGTCAAGTAACTGCTTTGAAAAAAAGAATTGAAGTCTTAAAAAGAGAGAATAAATATTTCTTCTTACTTTGTTGAGGTATATCTTCAGTTGATTTCTGGGTTAATGTTTATTTTTGGCCATATGCACGACAGTATTTTAAATATTTATGTCTTTCGATTGAGTTTTCAATAAAAAAGCAAACTCACTGCCATGGAGTCAAGCCTGACTCATAGCAACCCCTCCTTGGGTTTCCGAGGCAGTATCACTACAGAAGCAGATTGCTCAACCTTCCTTTCGAGGAGTGGCTGGTGGGTTTGAACTGCCAGCCTTCTGGTTAGCAGTCAAATGCCTTAGGCACTACACCACCAATACTCAGACATTAATCCCAAACAAGCAGTATGTTATAGAATTAGATTTATGTACTGGGGCAGTCATCTCAATTAGTGTACCTTCAAAATATGCCCTGCTATATGATAATTAAAGATGATGTTTTCAAAGAAATTTTATGATATAAGGAAAAAAAAAAAAACTTCCAAATTTTGGAGTGAAAAAAAAAAAAAATGTGTCTACAAGACTATATCCAGAATGAAATTATTAAAAAGAAAATCTGCCAAGAAATAGTCCAAAATATTAATAGTAACTGTTTCCTTACTTTTAACACTTTAAATCTATCAAGTTTCTTAGAAAGCAGGTATTGCTATTTTAAAAGTAGTATTTATTATTTGGTTTTCAAAATAATTTTATTCTCATTAGCAGAATAATATTTATTAATTACCAACAATAATTTAAAAAATAAAATTCTGCTCTCTCAATTTAAAAATTAAATTCGCTTTAACAGATGTAAGTCTTATATAGCAATTGAGTCATGAATTTTGTGAATGGCTTTCCAGAAAGCTATCAAGTAGTAACAAAATCCCTCAAAGGACTAAACTTACAATTGAAAAAATATTTACTTTTTCTCAAAAGATTTAAAGTCCTCTGGAAGAAAAAAAAAAAAAAGAAAATCCAGAATAACAATATTATTATTTAAAAGTAGTTCAAATGTCTTCTCTCCCAGGAAGAGACTCTGATCCTACCACCCAGAATAATTTCTCCCTGCCCTGAACTCTTTCGGTTTCCGTTTTGATATCATGGGCACCCTGTCGATGCCATCTCTTCTCAGTAAACTGTAAAGTATTTGAGGTCAGAAAATTATGTTTATTCCTCTTAGCAGTAATAATAGGCACTCAATGTAGGTTAATTAAATAAATGAAATGAATTTACTGTGGAAAAATTTCTAATGAGATTAATGCATTTTGATGTCTTAGGTCCAGAGTTTTGAAGAAGACATAGATTATTCTCTTGACATGACTTCAGGAATCACAGGTAAGAACTGATTAAGGTACTCAATTTCAGTAGTCATCTTTGAGAAAGAGAAGGTATATAACTGGTACTCAAATTTCTTTCTATGTTCAGAGCTTAAAAATCTCTCCAGGAGATACCATGCATGTATGCATCATTGGCAACATTAAAAATTTACTAACATTGCAAATTTACATGTAAATTTAAAAATACTTAACCACAAAAATGTTCCACATCTCTGGGACTAATTTAGTATGTGGCCTGTCTAACAGTGACTTTATGTGATCTGACCAGATGGTGGATTTCATATAGGACTGGGACTGAGTGGGTGAATGCTGCCTTACTCCTACCTCCAAATAGCTGCTGTTGTTACACAAGTCATATCACTTTTCTGGGCCTCCATTTTCCTATCTGTAATAAAGAAATTTGCAGACAATTTTTTAAAAAAATTTTCGTCAACACTTATATTCCAAAATCAGTGATTGTACAGCCTTGCCATAATCTTATCAGTGGAAGCAAGTTGCCTAGATGTACCTTTCCAAAGCATCTCTCAGCATGATGCTAGATCATCTTAGACAACGGAGAAGGAAGCTTTCTCTAGTCCTGGTTCATATGCCGCATTCAGCCATCATTGTGATTTGGGAATTCCATGATCCTATAACAGAGCTAGCAGTAGACAGGGATTAGGCAAGCAAAATAAAGCAGATGAAGCTAGCACATTTCCTGGAAGGAAATATGCAAATTTTTAATTTAATTTAGTGTGGTGTCAAACACATCTTTTTCGTTATAAAGTGTATGTATGGGTCTCGTTTTACTAAATGCTGTTTCAAAATTATGCATTAGTAATTATAGGGTCCTACTGATTACATAAATTGTTATCCTCCTCTTCAAAGTAATTACCACATAACCTGCATGGAGTTTTATAAGACAAAAATAAACATCTGTTTTCCATCTAATTGAATGCTTTTCAGTGAAGCTAGCAGCTCTCTTATCAATAGGAATTGTCTTCCATAACATTCAGTTAGGAAGTCTGCTGGTATCATGTAAGTTGCCACAATAATTCCAAAGATGCTTTGAGAAATTAGGCAAAAGTACTAATACTCTTGTGGTGGTTAAGTTTAGTGTGTCAACTTGGCTAGGCCTGGTTGAGTGGCTGGGCAACTGAATGTAGTTATTCCCCATGGTGAGACTGGTAATTAACTCCGTGGTGGAATCTATTGGAGCAGCTGTGTAGCCGCTTTAGGTATGTGGTCTGCTTCCCGTATATAAAAAACAGCTTTGGGAATGGTCTCTAGCTTATGGCATGCTTTAACCCTGCATGTAGCCACGTCATTGTTCAGCAGTCTGCCATGCTCTGCCGACTTTGAGACTTTCAATGGATTTGAGTTAATGGCCTGCTACGTGGTTTGGTAACATCAGAACTGTGCCGTTTTACTTGTCAGCCTTGGGCTTGTCAGCCTCAGCTGCCAGCAGCTGTCTGAGTGAAGAAAAGCTTCTAGCTTCACTGGGCCAGGAGCAGGAGGCCAAACTGAAACCCAAGGTTGAGCAGACTTCACCCAGCCCCTAGAGTCTGGCACTTTGAACTCAGACTCAAAACTTCCAAACTGTAAGAGAATAAACTCCTGTTTCTTCAAGCCATCCCATTTATGATATATATTCTTGTCACAGAGGCACTAGGTAACCAGAACGTATACCTAACCTCAAATTGAGAGATAAGTTCAAGGAAATGAAGGTTAGCCTGATAGAGAAAATCTGAATTATAGCACAGGAAATGAGATTTTATTACTTTCACAAACAGTAATGTTAATCTAAGAAAAAATAGGGCTGGGAAAAAAGTAAGCAAAACTAGTTCAACTAGTGGAAAAAAATGGGAAATTATCACTTTGGTATTGTATATGTGTATGTGTGTGTGTGTAAAATTATTTTTGACTGAATGCAAAAAACAAAGCCACATGGACATCTATGAACAATAGAATATGAAAGAAGCGATTCTGTGCTAGTTCCAGGACATAACCCTTAACCTTCCTGGAAGCTTCTGCTGTTGGCTGTGGGAATGCACACTGTTAGAGCATGGTCTTTAGGAACTCAATCACCACACTGTGAGAATTCCAAGCCACATGGGGAGGCTGTATATGGGCACTTTGGTGGGCAGCTCCTAATGAGCTTCATGTAAATAAGCCATCTTGGATGTCTAGTTCAGTGCAGCTTTCAGATGACTTCAGCCCCAGACACCATGTGTCTGCAACTACATCAGAAAACCAAGTGACAAGCACTCAGCTGCACTGAGTCTAGTCACAGAACTATAAGTGTTAATAATAAATTGTTCAAAACTACACACACACATATTCCCACAAATAGATGAGGGCATATGACAAAGTCTTCAAATAACTTTAAACGAGTTAAAAATCACTTTCTAAGACTGTTACTCATGCACAGTATTCTGAAAATTAGCAGAAAAGATATATATAAGCATTTTAGTAAATAAATTTGAGAAAATGGACTTCATATGGAAGATGATGACTCAAGACCACAAATTTTCTACCCTCCTGCACCCCCTGCAAAGGGATTCAAGACACCAAAACCGTAAGACCTTAAGGTCATATTTTCCAAATGAATCTCACTTAACTATTAAATAGGATAAGCTGCAACTTCCCTGTTGCCTCATAAGGTAAGCAAATATAGCAAAATAATCACAAAAAGATTTAGCAATTCCAAATCACAGGATATTCTCCAGAAATGCCCACAAATAAAAGAATGTCAATAAAGAAGCAGAAGAAGTCTTCAGAAATGTATACTTTCTGAGAAATGTATGAGATCATTGCATCTACATATGAGGATACTCTTCAAAGCCAAGGTAAATAGGCTTCAAGAGAAAATATACAATGTCTGATTTGGCTTCCCACAACAGCTAGCTCATTTCTAATGGACCACCTGTCCCTGAAGGCAGATTCCTGTTGGCATCTTTCTAAAACTTCAACGGAAAGTAGCAGTCTTGCTTAATAGAGAAAAGCGGAAGACAGAGTTTGGGGCAATGACAAAAGCTAGAATGTGAGTTAGAAAAGAGAGAGCCAAAGAGGAAAAAGATTTCTCATTTCTGAATATGGAACTACCCAAATCTTTAGGCAAGCCTTGATCTAAGTATACATGTGAAATATTTCAAGAGACTTAACTAAGCCTAAAAGAAATGAATTGAAATTTCCATTCAGAGTTTGATTCTAGACAAGTTCCTTGAGAGAACTTATTCACACTGTCCAGGACAATAAATAAAAATTACTGGACTTATGAAGAAACAAAAGAATATAATCCATATTAGAGGAGAAAAAAAGCGATCAATGGAGACAAACCTTGAGATAACCATGATGTTGGAATTAGCAAATAATTGTTTTAAAAAAGCTATAATAATCATGCTGTAGGATTAAAAGGAAAATGGGCTCAAAAATCATGAAAAGATAGAAAATCTCAAAAGGGAAATGGAAAAAAATAATAATGAAATAGAAACTCTAAAAATGAAAACTTATTTTCTGAAATATAAAATGGATTGGACTGGCATTATATTCACTCACTGCCATGGAGTCCATTCTGACTCATACTGACCCCCCATTGGGTTTCCAGGGCTGTAAATCTTTACAGAAGCAGTCAACCTCATCTTCTTCTTCCATGGACCAGCTGATGGGTTTGAACTATCAACCTTTTGATTAATAGCCAAATAAATGCCTTAAACATTATTTCACCAGAGCTCTTTGACAGGCATTATAGCAGGTTAGAAATGAGAAAATAAATATGGGTAGAAATTATCCAATCTAAAGAGCAAAAAGAAAAAAAAAAAGATCAGAAATTATCTGAATAAATTATCTAAACCTAGAGAATTGCTAGATAGGTAAGAGACAAATATTGATTTGGGTGAAGGGAAAGGCAATATACAAAAAGTGAGTTACCAACACAGTAACACTAAGGAAAAAGAAGACACAGAGAGGAGCACAAGCAGAATAGACAACAAAGATAAACACTTTTACCTACACAATACTTTGTTATCAGTAATAACACACATTCATCTATGGGTAGATAGATAGAGAGGCTGAATGATCAGGTATGTCTAGCCAAAAGGGAACACAAGCATGACCATATATAATTTTGGCAAATGATATTTCTACATATGTATTTGTATGTGCTATAAGAATGTCCACATAAATAGAACTAACAGGGGACAAAGCTATAGTAACTTCTTAGCCATAGCCAATCACCCTGATGGAGTGAGTTATTGGGCCTGTGGGCTCAGGACCATGGTTGTGAGGGATATCAAGCTCAATTGGCATAACATACTACACAAAAACATTGTTCTACATCCTACTTTGGTGAGTGGCAACTGGGATCTTAAAAGCTTGTAAGAGGCCATCTATATGCAACAATTGGTGTCTCCTCATCTGGAGCAAAGAAGATTGAACAAAACCAAATATGCATGGAAACAATTAGCCAAGGGACTAGTGGACCATGCAAACCTCAATCTACATGACCCTGAGACCAGAAGTACTAGATGGTACCCGACTACTACTGTTAACCACTCGGAAAGAGATCAATGCAAAAGATCCTGAATAGAGTGGGAGAGAAATTTGGAACAAAACTCAAAATCATTAAAAAAAAAAAAAAAAGACCAGGACTAGTCTTATAGAGCCTGGTGGATCTGTTGCCCCTTACCACTCTGAAGAGGATTGTAGTAACAGGTCCCAGATATGGTGGGAGAAAAATGTAGAACAAAACTAAAAAAAAAAAAAAAATCAGGCTTACTAGTCTGATAGAGACAGGTGAAACCCCTTAGTCATCCTTTGGGTCTGGAATTGAATTCACTTCTGTGGCTTCTAGCCAAACAATAGACAAGCATGAAAAGTGAACATTTACACCAGGTAGGTACACTCCTGAGAACAATTAATCATAGGAGATCAGAAGGGCAGTATTTGTACAGGCAGATAGTTTAGAGGGTAGGAATATATAAGAAAGAAGCACACTGGGTAAAGGTAACCACAGGAAGG